TAACCCACACAGCTCCTGGGTGTGGTGTTCTGTCCCATCTAATGGCATCGAGACCACTTAGAGAGAGAGTTAAATGAGTCTGCTCCACAGCCTTAGCTAACAGCCAGTTGGCTTTTAGTTCAGGCAGTAGAGGCTCATGCTTTAAGCTCCAGAGTCCCCACGTTCAATCCTGCCCACCGATGACCGGGGTTTGTCGGCATTACACATGTATCATTTCTGTATCTAAAGTTAGGAATATTGACTATGTAACAATTATAACTGTGTGTGTATTTGGGAGACACCCACCAGACGACAGGCCATCAGCCTTGATGGGCCATTAGGAAGAAACAGTAAGACTTTGAAGATACTAATCTCTCTCCTTCCTGAGAGGTGTCCTGGGGCATAGCTGGGACACTACTAGGTCAGGTGGTCCTGTCACCTGGTACTAAACCCCATCTTGGACTTCTAGTAATTTTCCACTAAAAGGAGGGGGAGGTCAAGACTGGGAAACAAAAGATTCCCGCCTTATATAAATCTTATTTAAGGCTGGGGATTAAGGCAAACAGGACTCTTCTCCATTGCCTTCCTGCCCAAGAAGAAAGGCTGCTGAAAGTACCTGAAGAGACAAAGGAACAGAACAGTGGGAAAGGCGAGGGCTGAGTCCAGACTGAGACACGAGTCTAGTCTGTAAAGAGAAATAACTGGAACTCTAAGCTACAGAAACTCTGCAACTTGCCTAAAACAACATTTAGGGTGAGAAATTACTTCTTGAAACCAGTCTTTTTAAGATCTTAAGCTTAGTATGCGTGTTTTGTTTTATTTGCTTGGTAATCTGCTTTGTTCTGTTTGCTATCACTTAAAATCTTCCTTTTATAGTTAATAAACTTGTTTTTGTTTATTATTAAACCCAGGTTGTGCAATTTCTAACTGGGCAGGGGGGCAAGAAGTTGTGCATATCTTCCTCCACATTGAGGGCGGGGATGAATTTATGAGTTTACATTGTAGAGATTTCTCTACAGGACAAGACAATATTATTTTGGTTGTAATTTCCAGAGGAAAGCTGCACTTGAGGGAGGTCTAACCGGTCACACTAGGCATATTTATATTTCATACACAAGCACATGGAGAGATGCATGCAACTATACAACCAGAAACACACTCACTGCTTTAACCCCATGCAGCAAACACAAACACACATGTAACTGTAAACACCATTGTATATAGACACACACATGCACAGAAGCACACTCACCCAGTAACACATGAATAATCTCTCTCTTTCTCACACACACACACACACACACACACACACATTGTTATCTGTCTGTGTCAGAAGCCCTGAGTTCTTTTGGCTATCTCTCCAGCCTCTTGAACTGTTTATTAAATTTTGTTCTTTCAGTTCCTATTGCTGGTCACTGAAACTTCAGAGCTCAAAGGGCACTTCCTCCTTTCTGCTCAGTGTATTACCTGGGATGTAAGGGAGGTGAAATGAAATATATCTCAGACTTCAATATAGGGACACCTTACGAGGCATCTCAGACACACAGTCGGAACTGGTCAACTGCACTAAAGAGAGTGTGGAGCTTTGATGATCTCTAGTAAGGGATGGGAGAAACTCCCCAAAACCTCTAGGGAGGTTTCATTGTGTGTGTGTTTGTGTGCGTGATAGAGAGAGACATTGTGGGGATTGAAGAGATGAGGAGAGGCACACACAGACATATGGAGAAGGGAAAAGTTTCACTTGGATCTTGTAGTTTGTTTTTCAGCCATAGCTTCCTTGGCAAATCCACGTCAAAACACTGGGCCCTATAGCACCTGTAGCTGCAACAGCTGGAAATAGAGTTGCTCTGAGCTTCCTGCTCTTTTCTCCACATCACTTTCTGCTGGGAGAGGCCAGGAATGGAATAACTGGGAGCTCCCTAACCCCAGCATCAGTCTGCTGGGAGAGTCTAGGGTTACAATAGCAGGGAAGATTCTTTGCAAGGATTTGCAGTCCTTGCCCAGTGCTGTGTCTTCTCTGTATAAATGCATGTTAAAGTCTGTATATACACCGCTACCTCGATATAACGCTGTCCTCGGGAGCCAAAAAATCTTACAGCTTTATAGGAGAAACCGCATTATATAGAACTTGCTTTGATGCACCAGAGTGCGCAGCCCCGCCCCCCTGGAGCGCTGCTTTATCGCGTTATATCCGAATTTGTGTTATATCGGGTTGCTTTATATTGAAGTAGAGGTGTATGTGATGTGTGTGGGATGAGACCAGCCTTCTATGATCTCACAAAGAAAGGCAATATAGGGAGTATGAGGACCAGGTGAGGGCCTAGAGGAAAATTATGGGCTTGAAAAGCTAAATTTTGGAAGGTCAGTTCATTTTAAGAGTGATCACCAGACTCTTCCTCCTCTCACTTAATGAATTCCTAGAACAGTATATTAAGCAGTACCACATGAATTACATTTTGAAAATGAACATACAAACAAAGGCAGTGCTTCCTTAGATTATAGATATTTTATTCAAATGTTATGTTCACAAATGACACAGAAAGTAAAACCTAGAAATCTATCAAGAGAAAAATAATTCAAACAAATAACCCCGGAGAATAAATCCTCTAAGGTCGCTATATATGTAAATGAATAATGAGTTATGTTTCATTTGGTGAAATAGCACTGGCTGCAGAATAAGCAAGATACTCTTGTTTTAACTGTGATGGAATAAACCCATACACTGAGTCACAGGTGTTAACATGACCCAGTCACTGTAAAACATTAAACATTTAAACATGATTCACTTTTCAAAAGGCTACAAGCTGAACTAATGGCAAGGAAATGGCTAATAGTAACTAAATCAAATTGAAATGATTAAACATTCTAGTGTTAACATCCCTCCCCCATGATGGCCTGGTTCAAGACACTCATGGCTTCCAGAGACTGGTTGGCTGCCCAGGACAGGATACTGGCGGCTATCAGGGATTGGCAGATGTGAGTGCTCTTTTCTGTTGATCATCTTCTACACATAGGCTGAAAACTGGAGTCTGGTTCTCACCTGTTGAAATCTCTAAGCAAGATGGAATGTTCTGGTGAGAAAAGCAACAACTGAAGTTAATTTCTTTTCTGGAGGTTGGCAGCTTAACATTTGCACTCTAGACTCACTCTGTGATTTAATGGACATGGGAGGAACTCACTGTAACTGCAATCACCTAAAATATTAATTGCTTCAAATCTCATTCAAAACCAGGGCAAATTACAAAGGGTTCCCAGGCATGTTTAATGGTCACAGGGACTCATCATTAGATCTGGTTGGGAGTATTCCAACTACACGGTTATTCATCAGAAAATGCTGATTTGTCAAATCCAAAACATTTTGTGGAAACATATCGGTTGTGAAGAAATTTTGTTGGGAATGTCTCTCAGGTCCACCATGGGAAAAGAAAAAACAAAAGGGGGGGAGGAGAGGGAGACCGAGACCCCACCCCAGAATAGCCAAAGGCCTGGTGGTTTAAACATTCCCCTGGGGTATGAGAGACTCAGGTTCAAGTCCCTGCTATGTCTCAATCAGGAGCAGGGATTTAAACCTAGGGCCTAGATTAACCTAAAACTGTGAAAATTTTCATACCGTGCGTGACGTACTCAGATGAAACTATCCCCCACTATAGATGCAGTGAGGTTGATGAAACAATTCTCCTGTCGACATAGCTACTGCCTCTTGTGGGGGTAAATTTACCACGGCAACAGAAACCCCCTTTCTGTCACCGTAGTGTCTATGTTACAGAGCTACAGCGACGTATCTGCAGTGCTGCCTCAGTGCCGCTGCATCGCTTGTAGTGTAGACACAGCCTGGGTATCCCAGAGGAGTGTGTGAGGGCCTTACACATGGGGCTGGTGGCTACTCTCGGGAGGGTGCTCTCGCTCGTTCTCTTCCACCTCCTTGTGGTTTTCACACAAAAACTGAAAAGGTCTCAGGTTTGTTCTAATGCAGAATGAAAACACAGCTTGGAATTTCCCATGGGATGGAAATATCATTTATTGGCCGGCTCTTCCCTTCACGCCCTGACTGTGTATTACAGATCACCCTGTGACATGAGGTGATTTGGGAAGGGGAGAGACTTCAGGGGAGTTCAATGAAACATTCAATGGCCCCGTTACTAGGAGGGAATATAAACCCATCCAGATGTTGGCAAGGAAAGGGGTTAATCAGCTCTGCTGGGGGGATGGGAGGCCTGACAACAGTTTTGCTAGTGTAGATGGACTCTGAGAGAAGGATGTGCGGTGTAGCGTTGGAAGCTGTGTCTGCAAGGGAGGGTCAGGAAGAAGGGTCTCTAGGTTGAGGATGGGATGTAAGGGAAGAGAAGAACTGCGGGGTTTCTCTGTCTGGAATTTGTCTAGCCATGCTCTAGAACTTGCTTTGTACTTGGGCTGAGGAAAA